TATTTGCAAAGGGTGTTGTGGACTTGTGGCCATGGCAGCCCCTGCAATCCCATGAACTAGTGACTTTTTTTGTCCCCATATTTTCGAATAACAAAAAATAAAAAAAATTATTCTCTAATAAAAAAATTGCTAATATGCAATATGTTGTTCTATCACGTATCCTTGTATTATAAAAAGAAAGAAAATGAAAAAAATTATAAAACAAAATTGATGAATAGGATCTGTTCGCAGGAGATTATCAACTTGTGCGTTTGCAAAATATTGGATACAAAAATGGAGAATGTTTTTTTTTGGCAATGATGCCTGTTACAGTACAAATGTTTTATCTTCAAGAAAAATCAAGAAAACACTTTTTAATGTATTTGATTTGATTATTGATCACAATCATGGGTGGATTTATATAAAACAAATTCAAATATTGGCCAAAGGCAGGGAGAGAATAATGGCGGCAATAAATTGGGGTGAGGGATAAAATTGTCTGAAAATGGTTGAATATGTTTAATTGCTTCAATATTATACTAAAGGGGTTAATTGTTTGAATAAAAAATGCAGGATGGTATTTTGAAAAAGCTCTTAAGTTAAGGGTGGTTATGTGTAATTTGCCCTACATTTTTCTGCCCGCAGCTGCATAAAAATGAAACCCATAATACAATGGTTTAAAAATACAATTTCAATTAAAAATATTTGTTTTTTTATCCAAATAACTATATAAAAGAATGTAGAAAGGCAAATTTGGACAAATTTTAAAGGTAAACAAAAAATGCCGAATGTTAATTGTCACATTTAAAAGGTCATTTGTGTTTAAGAAAGGGAGAGAGAGTGATAAAGGACACAAACTGAAAAATAAGAGCGTTATACTTTTCTTACCAAAAAAGGGGTATACTTTTTGTACTATGAAAACAAGTTGTGCCAAATGAACTTTTGTTGTTGGGATAAATAAAAAAGGAGTAATTTGCCCTTTTTCATCCCTGACAATTTTCACGAGGCACAATTTAGTCCCTCGAAAAAAAAAAGTAATAAATTGGTCCACGAAATAACAAAAAAGAGCCATGTTGATCCTTCTATTAACTCCCCCCAAACGGCCCAACTAACGGTGCCCATTTGGCACGTTAGTTTGCTGACGCGGCTTGGATGTGGTACACCGTGGAAGAAGAGACGACGCCGTTTTGTGAATGGAATGCCTCTAAACAGAAAAATCCCTCACACTGAACCCCAATCCCAAAAATCGCCCAAATTGCTGAAATCAACCCTAAAAATGAAAATCCCCCAATTTTCTCAAATGAACCCTAAACAGAAAAATCACTCAAACTATAAATCCGGACATTGATGTCTGAAAATCGACAACGGTAGAAGACCTGTACCGGACTTGCTGGGGCATGGAGAAGATGAGTCTTTCTTCTGGCATGGTGGGATCAAGTGTTAGTGCTTCAATAGGGGGAAGAAAACTGACAAGGACCGCCGGTCGTAGGTGCAAATGTGGGAGACAAAGTATTGTGTATACCTCCAAAACTGAGAGAAACCCAAACAGGGCTTTCCTTGGGTGCCCTAATTTCAAGGTATACATGTGTTATTTGCCCCTCTATTAAGCTGAAAGACTTCATAATCGTGGTTTGTTATTTTGCAGAAGAAGCCATTTTGTGATTTTTTTAGATGGATAGATGACATCTGTAATGAAGGGATGAAGCTGGAAGATGCAAGAATTCACACTGTGGAGTTGGATGTTGCTGAAATTAATTTCAAGTTGAAGTATGTGGACATGATGATGAGAGAGCAAGATGTGAAGATTAGTGAGCAGGAAATGAAGGTTCATGAGCAGGAAAAAAAGATGAATGATGTATACCTGAAGATGGTGGAGGAGTTAGATAGGATGGACAAACAAATTATGAATGTTGGTAGGGTTGCTAGGATCTTAGGTGCTACTTGTGTAGGTCTAATCATCATGTGTATGTTTGTTGTTAGTGTTGTAACAGTCAAAACAAGTGACCCCAATTTATTTTTCCTTCTCTCAAGTGTAATGTGTACTCAGTAATGTTGTTATCCAAATTAATGAAGAAGGATGTATTATATGGCCTATTCTCTGTTGGTTGGAATCTGTCTGCATCATACAATTGTGGATTAATAATAAAGAAGCTTTCAATGTATTCCTTTATATCTGATAGCATCATATAAATGTGCATCCAATGGCAACATAGCACCTATTTTTGTTGTAGTATGGTATGCTGCTCAACATGCATGGAATGAATGTGCCAGTTTGTTGCATTGTATCACAAACCACAATGTGATGAGGTATTCATCCCTAAATGCAGAAAGTTGCATTAACAGAAAAACCAAAAAAGACAAATGGGTCCCTGACAAATAATATCGGGGCCCAAATTGGTCCCTGGCACTTTGAAAAATGGGCATGAGCTGTTTTGTGCTAAAAATGCATTGGCAGGAACACATAATATTGCAACAATGGAATGCACATATTGCAGCAAAATCTAGCCAACACCAACCATAAACATTTCGAAGCTTCATAGTAAGTCATGACATAGCACTTAATCACACCCTTCATCCACAAATATATACACAGGCATATTGCAGAAAAAAAACAAGTTACCAAGGCCAGTATATGTAGTCCCTTGAAATAACAAACCACACTGCAGCAATATGTATTCACATATGCATATGCATATTGCAGCAAACACCAAGGATAAGAAATAACTTTAAAACCATCTTTCAAACTTATACCAAAAACCATCATACAGATCATAAGAAATCACTATGCAAAAACCATCTTTAAAACCATCTTTCATAACTTGAAAGGATATCATTAAGCAATAATGTTGCATAATTACAGACCTGCATATACAAAAAACCATCTGTCAACTATTTTTCCACAATTTTTTTTATTCACAATAAACCCATACAGAGACATATTGGGAATAAAAAAAAACAGGTACTGCACTTAAATGTCTTACATACCAAAAAATATTGGGTTCCAACTGAACTTGCATACAATTCCAAAAAATGGCCAATTGATCTAGCAGTGTTGCCTATACAAAAAACACTAAACCCCTATACAAAAAAAACTGGACCTACAACTGATCAATTTCATTCAAGCTGGCCTTGGTGGCCTAAACCCAGGTGTGGTCATGAAGGCCATTAGCCTGCTCCTTGTGCCACTGCTTGTTGCATTGAGAGTTTCAGTTGACAAAACTTCTGGTGGTGGGGCAGTAGGTGGTGGGTTGTTGCCTCTAATGGATTCTTCACATGCTTGGGACTGTCTTGATATTACAGAAGGTCCTCCTTGACTCAGTGGGAGCTCTTCTTCAGGTCTTGAAGGTATGTTGACATTAACTGCAATTGTTGGTGGTGCCGCTCTCTTCCCTTTGTTGCTTGCAGTTGGTCCCTTACAGGTCTTTGCATAGTGACCAGGCTGTCCACATTTAGCACACTTTGTAGCATATGTCCTTTTTAATTTGGTGTTGCTGACCTGCTCCTCACTTGGATCCTTCTTCCTATGTTTTTTGGGACGGCCAATTGACCTTTTGAGTGGTGGAGGAATGGGTTTAGGCTCGGTTGATTCAGGTCAATACTTATCAGAATTGACAGGGTTCAAGGTGTGTGCATAAGTGGCATGCAAAGCATCCACTGTCAGCCATTGATGGACATAAAGCTCTGGTGTTTCATTCTTGTGACATAATGCAGCGATTGCATGTTCACATGGCAATCCAGTGAGCTGCCACAGATTACATGCATAAGTCTTATAGGTTAAATTGACTCCCACCCTTTCACCCTTTCCAGTCACTTCGTATAGATCTTGCTCCAAATTCCCTGTCCATTAAAACCTTCAATTGATCTAGCTTCTTCTGTTGTGCTGAAGCAATTTTACCCCTCACTGTTCCAAGTATTCTTTGATGGGCAGCCATCCTCCTCATGATATAGCACCTAAGTTCTTCACATAGGCTGACAATGGGCTTGGAACTGTACCTTACAATTTTTTCATTCCACATCTCAGCCACTTGTTTGGTTATATTGTCACACTTGGGCCAGTGACTAAATAGGCCTTCACCCAGCATGAAGGGTCAATCTTGTGAAGGTATGCCCAAGCATCTTCATTCAACTCCTTCAATTTCTGCATTGTTCTTTGGAATTAGGGCACAGTAGTGCAGCGTGCAGCCGCCCATACTATTTCCCTAATGGCTTTGTCCTTCCATTGCTTAATAAAATTCTTCCACACGTGCTGCACATAAAACCTGTGATGGGCACCAGGCATGACCTCCTGTAATGCTGGTATCAAACCCTACATTCATATATCAAGCAGCAACAAAATTCATCACACATGGCTAGCAATGTACAACTTATAATAAAGGAAAATAAATTTGAAATAAACATACCTTTTGCTGATCAGAAATGAAGTTCCATCCATGTACTACATGGCTGCCAATGTCCTCTTGTAACAAGGTCAGAAACCACTTCCAATTTTCTTTGGACTCACTATCAACAACTGCAAAAGCAATGACATAAAAGCTCTTGTTTGCATCCTCTCCCACAATACTCAATAGTTGTCCCCCATAATAACCTTTCAAGAAACATCCATCTAGTCCAATCAATGGCCTACAACCAGCTTTGAATCCTTTCTTACAGGCGTCAAGGCATATATACAGTTTAGAAAAAATAGGTGGGCTATTAGGGACTAGTTGTGGTATTACTTGCATCTGGCAATTGGAGCCAGGATTGCTCCTCATAAGCTCAGCCAGGTAGTCCCTTAATTTGATACTGTTCCTTCTCATTTCCTTATATTCTTCCCTTGGCTTTGTGTAGTGCCTTTGTCACTTTCTTCAAATGCACATGGACCTTGTACTCTTCCTTTAAATGCTTATAAGCTTCGGCCCTTGTTATGTTGGGCTGTGTGACCAGCCTTTTCTCCAACTTTGCAGCAACCCAATCCCTATTGGCCCTTTTATTTTTGAAAATTCTGCAGCAGGAATGGTTATCATTGAATGTCTTGACTTGGAAACTATTGAATTTGTTAGACCAGGCACAATATATCATCCACTCACAGTTTTCATTTGAGCATTTGGCCCTTGCTCTTAACTTGTCATTCTTAACCCATTTAAATTGCCTCCCAAGACTTATATTGTAGTCTTTGACACCATTTTTAAAGTGCTCCAAACTGACAAACTCCATTCCAAGCTCAAGCTATACATGACCAAAGGTATTCTCCTCATTAAACTTCAGAAACACTTCCCTCTCGACTTCCTCATCCTCATCCCCACTTGAAGGAAGAGTCTTCTGTAACCATAGCCCTGATCTTCAAAGGACATATTCTGCTCATCCTCTGAATCCTTTTCTTCCCTGTCACTCTTGTTAACTGTCTTTTTTCCTTCTTTCCTTTCATATTTTTTTTCAATACAATTATTGGCTCATCCTTTTCATCCAGTTCATCCTCTGTTTCGTCTTCAACACCCGCTGGTGGAGGCTTATAAGGCTCATCTTCTACATTGTCATATGAATCACTTGAGAGTCCATTGCCCTCCCTCTCTTTATATTCATCAGCAGAAGTCATATGGAAGTCAAACGAATTGTCAACTGAATCACCTAAGACACCATCCTCATCAGCACTTTGAGGATGAAACCCTTCTACAAGAGCAGCCAAAATGTCAGGAAGTGCAATGCAATCTTCAATATATATAGATATTTTGTTCCCATTACTTAAGGAAGCCTTCACCATTTCCAAAACATCTGAATCCTTTTCAAGAAGACATAACCCAACCTCTAAATCACTCTCAGTAGGCTTGAGCCACCACATCTGTTTACATTTTTCATATCCAAACCCCTTTAACAGAGTATCAAGGTCACGCAGGTTGACATAGTCTGCATCCATCTTAGGTAAATCATCCACTCTCCCATTTACATAAGTCAGCTTTCCTTTGTCATTCCTAACCAACACACCCCAATGATGATATCTTATGATTATATATTCATCCATCTGCATAGAAAACAGAACATAATCATTTTTTACACTACCTTAATATTATTTTACAGTATCGTACAACCAATCAATTATTATCAATATTACTATAATACTGTAAAAGTCACAGATATTTTAAATGGCTGCATTGCTACAATATTGGGTCCACTAATCACTACACATAGCAACTTAAAATAACAACATGGGGACCACATGCAACAAGTTCCAAAAATAAAATACTAAAGGGGACCCGATAAAAAAAACCCTAACCATCTCTTGCCCTAAACCGCACATGGGGGACCATATTAAACAGATAATAAAGAAAGGGTTTCTCTCACGTACCTTGCAGGAATATCACCACACTCACAACCGTTTTAAGGATCTTCACCACAAACCACACTACTTCCAAATGCTTGCAACTGCAGAAGACACATACACTAACAAACCACCGTAGCTCACCAACCTTCACCGAAAACAAAGCTCACGAGTAGAGGAAATGGTGAGTATGGACAAGTTACTTGTTGTCTGACTGTGTTAACTGAGTCAACAACAAGGTTGAAGAAGTCTCTCTTCATCAAACGACGTCGTCCCCTTCTCCTAAACCTGATACAGCCTTCCAATATAAGACGACGTCGTTCCTTTCTCCTCCACGTGGCTGTCACGTTAGTGACTCAGCTAACTAATGGTCCAGCTGGCTTCCGTCAAGTGGGTCGTCACATTCCAACTAACAGAAGGACAAACGTGTCCCTTTTTTTCAAAAAAATAGGGATTGAAATGTGACTTTTTTTTCTTAGGGACTGTACCTCGTGTATATTGTCAGGGACGAAAAAAGGTATTTACCTATAAAAAAGAGGTGTCAAGAAAATACATATTTAGTGAGGGATGAGAATATTTAATTATAATTAAGTCCCGATAAAATATTAGAAACTGACTTGTCTCAAATAAATAATTACGATCTGTATAAAAAAAATCCTAATAGTGAACATACCATCAGAATATGATATGCTTGTCAGGAAAGATCGTCTCATGATAAATTTTCAATACCTGGTCATGTGAAATTTTTGTATCTATCTTTCTCTGCACATGTATTTAATAAGTGAGATCCTATTATCATTTATGAAGAAAGAGATGAATATAAAAATTTCACGTGATCAGATCATGTGAAGTTTTTAACACAAGAGGACTCATTCCATCCTTGGCATTGTATATAGAAACTGAAAAGACATCTGTAATATATCCTTTAGCTTGTTTCGTAAAAGAAGAGCATAATAGGAAGAGAAGAAGAGATTACAGAGAAAGATAACAGAAGGAGAAAATAGGATAGGAAGAGAGAATAGAAGAGAGGAAAATTCTTTGATAATTCTTGCTAGCTTTCGTGGTCTAATTCAAGCCTACATATACCCTCAAAGGGTTGTTACACAACATCCTAACAACTTATTTGTAGAATATTCTAGAATTACTAATACTTGGGCATGTGAGATGCTATTGTTACATTCCATCGCCCTTGAAACCAACCTTGTCCTCGAGGTTGAGTTATAAAAATA